GTAAAACAGTGTTAGCAAACTTGGTCAAAGAAATTTTGAACTGAAGGTCAATTTAATTCCTGAAGGTGTTTGGATAAAATTGATCGGGTTTTTGCAAGCTTCTGAGAACTAGTGAAGTTTTTAGAAAATCCATGACATGTGTGTCATATTAACTTGAAGTGTGTTTAATTGCAAAACACTACATTTATTTAAGTGATGGTTGCAGTTTCTTAAATGTGAGAATTTTCTATTTGTCTGGAACTTTATTGACATTCATCTTGTCTACTGGTTAAATAAAATAAATGAAGCAGTATACTGTGAGACACTATAAGAGCTGTTTTTTTTTGTTTTGTTTGTTTGTTTGTTTAATCTCCCAATACTTTATAAAATCGTGTTTTTATAACGAAAAAAATATTCGCCATCCATTTTGGTTTATAAATAAAATTTAAATACATTGTTTAGCTTCTAGAAATGTGCATATTTGCAGGTTTTCACTCCTGAATAACTTGAATTGATCTATTAATGAATTATTGTGAAATAGCATACAAATTGTGTCAAAACAAGGTTTCTACAATTGATCAAACTAGCTGATTACAACCTCTTAGCATCGTGTGGGACTTCCTAGTCTGGTCTGTCACCTTGACAACATCGGACCAATGACAGCGCGCACGCGAACTAGGCCAGCCAATCAGAGGCGGCCGGCAAATCTGCATGTCATTTCTGCCCCGGCTCGCGCTACCTGCAGCGTGTTTTGTTTGTCTGTCTGCGGAAACAAACGGACCGAGAGCTGGACACGAACTGTGGGGGTTTTTCCTCGGTACTTTCTGCTCATGAGGACTCCGGTGACCGCAGAGGACTCCCGGAGCCGAACCCAACGGGAGCACCGCCGGTGCTGGATGAGAGTCTGACTCGGCGTTTTCTACCCGGTGACAGAGAGACAAACCGAGCGGCGCATCCCTCCCATCTCCCGCAGCCCACCCGGCCATGGCCCTGGTGACTCTGCAGCGGTCTCCAACCCCCAGTGCAGCAAGCTCCTCCAACAGCAGCGCGGGGGAGGTGAGTGGAGGAGGGGGCAGCAGGGGCTAGGGCTTCATTTTTAGGAAAAAAAAAAACAAGAAGAAGAATGCGCCTGCAGGAAAATAAAATACAAGCTGGGTGGAGTTTAATATCCTGCAAGAAGTCCTGTCTGTGTGTTGTCAGCTTGACAGGGTATTGTTCCTGTAGTTTTGCTGCAGCAGGATTTGTAAACAAAATCCTGCAGAGGGGGAAGGGTGCAGTTGGGTTTAGCTGTCAAGGCAAAATGCTCATTCATGCACTCAGGTGGCTCATGTTTTTGGAAGATGGATTCATTTGAGTTGCTTTAGCATTCACTTACTTGCACTGGAAGAGTGATAATTAGGTCCACAAGTTGTGAGCTGCTGGGTTTGACCTTAAGAAATTACAGCACAATGAGATGAAAAGCTGTTGCACGTCTTGAAAAATAACTATTCATTCCCAGCCTCTTAAGTGCCACCAATACTTGAACTGGTCAATTTTATGTTGTCCAATCTGCAACCACAATTCTGAAAAAGTTGGGACGTTGTGTAAGATGTAAATAAAACCGAAATGTAGCGATTTTCAAATCTCTTGAACACATTTTTGTTAACAAAGACAAGTAGTAAACGTCAAATATTTAAACGAATAAATTGTACCATTTTTGGAAAATGTAATTTGATTTGTACTGGACAAAAATATAAACAACGCTTTTGATTTTGCTTCCATTTATCATGATCTTATCTCAAAGATCTAAGACTTTCTATGAACACAAATGGCCTTTTTCCCTCGAAGTATTGTTCACAAATTTGTGTAAATCTGTTAGTGAGCACTTTGCTAAGATAATCCATCCACCTCACAGGTGTGTCATATAAAAATGCTGATTAGACACAGGTGTGCCTCAGGCTGGACAAAATAAAAGGCCACTCTAAAATATACAGTTTTACAATAGTGGGGTCAGAAAAAGAGTCAGTATCTGGTGTGAGCACCATTTGCTTCACGCAGTGCAACACATCTCCGTCACAGAGTTGATCCTGTTGTTGATTATGGCATGTGGAATGTTGGTCCACTCTTCAAAGCTGTGCAATGTTGCTGGATATTGTCAGGAACTGGAGCACACTGTCGTATACGCCAATCCAGAGCACCCCAAACATGCTCAATGGGTGACATGTCAAGTGAGTATGCTGGCCATGCAAGAACTGGGATGTTTTCAGCTTCCAGGGGTTGCATACAGATCCCTGGGCAACATGGGGCCATGCATTATCATGCTACAACATGAGGTGATTGTTGTGGATGAATGGCATAACAATGGACCTCACGGAGACACCAACTCTCACCCTCTTACAATGCTGTTATTGCAAGTATCACTCAGCCCCCTGTGAATAGCAAGCAGCCTTCAGTGCACTAACGACCAATTGTTAGGGCTCTAGCAATCCATAGTTAGGCTAATGGTCCCCCTTTTACCTGTGAATAGCTAGTTCTGGCTGGCAGCAGCAAACTAATTGATCCACTATGATAAGTGACTATTTATAAGATTGGTTTTTTTTCATGGCCTCAGAGGTCACTAAGGTGCAGGACTTCAAGTACTTGGGGTCCACTGTCCAGGAAAATGGGGAGTGTGGTAAAGAGATGAAAAAGAGAGTCCAGTCAGGATGGAATGGTCGGATGGAGAAAAGTTTCAGGAGTAATTTGCGACAAAAGGGTGTCAGCAAAGTTCAAAGGAAATGTTTACAAGACAGTTGTAAGACCAGCTATGTTGTATGATCTGGAGACCATGTACTTTTTTTTTTTGCTTTGGCAAAAAAACAGGAGAAAGAACTGGAAGTGGTGGAAATGAAGATGTTGAGGTTTTTCTTAGGAGTGACAAGGATGGATAAGCTGAGTGAATGAGATCATCAGAGGTACAGCACAGGTTGAACAACTGGGAGATAAAGTTAAAGAGGCCAGACTGAGATGGTTTGGACATGTCCAGAGGAGGGACAGTGGGTATATTGGTAGAAGGATGTTAGAAATGCAGCTGCCAGGAAAAAGACAAGGAGGAGATATATGGATGCAGTTAGAGAGGACGTGGAGGTTGTTATACATCAACAAGTCATACATCAGGGAAAGTAAACAGCCACTGGCCAAAAGGATGGTCCAACACAGAAGAGCAACATCATCAGCCCAGGAATCTACAGTCTACACTCATCTGCAGGCCAGCAGCCACTCTTTCAGGAGCCTTGATGGAGAGGAATGCTGGTTTGAGAGAGGAGTGAAGGAAGTCATCTTTGTGAAGAGAACCAATTCATCTTTAAACGTGGGCAAGGGTCTCCATGTTCAACTATCACTCTCTTACAATGCCGTTATTGCAAGTATCACTCAGCCCTCTGTGAATAACAAGCGGCCATCAGGACACTAATGACCAATTGTTAGGCTGATGGTTTTCCTTTTACATATGACTAGCTAGTTTTGCCTGTCAGCAGTAAACTGGTTGATCCACTGTGAGAAGGCACTGTTTACAAGACTGAGTTTGTTGCTGCGCTGCAGACTGAAGAAGTATTTTGGATAAAAGAGGAAAGTTAGAGTAAAGAAGAATCCATCCAGAGGACCCGACTTAACCTTGATGGACAAAAATAAAAGTGTTGTGTTTTATATTTGTGTTCAGTGTATATGGCAGCAACACATCTCAAAATGTTGGAAAAGGGTAAAAGATGGCTATAAAAGGAAGTAGTTTGATGAAGAAACAGCTGTAAGAGCATTTTGCAACAAGGTCAGTAAAATTACTGGTTATAAAAAGCATTTAGAAAGGCTGAATTTCACAGACATAAAGATGGGCAAAGGCTTTGTGAAAAACTGAACAAAATACTTCAAGTCAGAACTCGGATGCCTTCTGGCCCTCTTCATGTGAAGTCTGAATAAACCGAGGCAGCAAGAAGTGTTGAAGCCAACCGTCCTTTGACGTGCTTTTGTAGTTTTGTATCACCTTACGAGGTAATGACAGCTGAAATAGTCAACATGTGCTGGGGTCAAGGGAAGCTAGTGCCACAATTCAACACCAGTCGTTTGCAGGATTAAACAACGACATTCAACCTTTATTTATACAGGTTAATCCCATTGAGCCTCGGAGACTCATTTACAAGAGAGAGCTGAAAAAACAAATTGAGACAAGGGAGATGTCCATCACCCTTTTCGTTTTTTGTGCTCCAGGTCAGTGCAACAGAGTTCTGCTCTATGCCTTTTTTGGTTCTGCACTGCTGCCTTGCTTTCTCAAAGCTCACGTCTATGTGGGACGTGGCCAGCTTCTTCTGTGATTCTTGAACAGCTGGACACAGCATTAAGACAGACTGGTTTGTGTGTCCTTTTAGCAGAATTGTTTTATGAAAGAGCTATTGAATGGAACAATTTCTGATAAATGTTCCCCAACAGAAAATCAGACATACTTTGAATATACCATTATCTACTGTCATCTAAAGATTTATCTGGATCAGGGGTGCCCAGTATGTCAATCGCAACAACATTATGAGTAGATTTCATGGCATTAAAAAAAAATTGACGTCAGCCATCATCCATCCTCACTATGAAATTTTTACTTGATTGACATACAGGGCAGCCAGTCACAGCCGTCATTCAAACCAAGTCTGAGTGGTCATTTTTTGGGGGGGAAACCCCCGTGAAATCCTCCACATGTGAAGTCACACATGCACACTACAGGCGGCTGCAGTCAAGTCTTTTCTGCTCTAACAACAGTTATAATAAATGACAAAAAGCAAAGTGTTTTTGTGCTACTCACCATTTTTCAGCATGTAGGAGCAAAACTAATAAAATCCAGGGTCCAAAGAGACGTTAGTCTATTCACCAGGTTGGACATAATTGATCGTGCAGACGCTGCATGCACAATGAATGCAGCTGAGCCCAGCATCAGGGTTGCCAGATACATTTAAAATGTCTTATTTACCCCTCCTTTTCTGTGCACATGTTCAACAAACACAACACACAACTCATCTTAGAATATCCTTAATCAGCACATATGACAGTTTAGATCAAAATACTATAATTTTAAAGCCACAGTACTATAGTTCATAACTTATTTTCTGGCAACCCAACTGACATGGTAACTACAGCGTTTTTGTGTAAGCCCACTCATTTTTTGTTTATTACCCCCAATAAATATTGGGGGAAAAATACACTAACGTTTCCAGAGGTTGTTCTTGTGTGCCTTATGGTAGGTAGATCACTTTGACTTGGTCATTTTAAAAGTAGCTCGCATGCTGAAAAAATGTGGGCACTCCTGATCTGGATAAATCTCACCTCAAAGGACAAGGCTAAAATTCAATATTGGATGCCTGTGATCTTCAGGCCCTCAGGGGCCACCACATTAAAAACAGATCTGATTATGGTCTGCGTGGGCTCAAGAACACTTCAGATCTTCGTCTATAACCACAGCTCACTGTGTCATCCACAAATGCTGGTAAAGCTCTGTCATGCAAAGAAAGGGTTATATGTGAACGCCATCCAGAAATGCTGTTGACTTTTCTGGGACAAAGCTCGTTTAAAATGGACTGAGGCAAAGTGGGAAAATGTTCTGCCATCAGACAATTTTCACTTATTTTTGAAAACCACATATACCTTGTCCTTTACACCAAAAGGGACCTGTTATCAATGCACAGTTCAAAAGCCAGCCTCTTTGATGTTGTGGGGGTGCATTAATACCTATGGCATGGGCAGCTTATGTGGAATGGCACCATCAGTGCAGGAAAGTATATACAGGGTTTAGAACAACATATGATCTCAACCAGCAAAGAAGGCCCAGGACCTCTGAACAGCTAGAATCCTATATCAGACAAGAATGGGACAACATTCCCTCCAAAACCTCCAGCAGCTGCTCATTCAAAAAAGACACGTCTTTTTTTCTCTGGTCCAACTTTTTAAATGTGTCAGTGCCATAAATGTATAAATGTTCTGCACATAAGAGCGGCACACTTAACTAAAAAATAAGAATAGCCACTTTATTTGAAGATAATTCTGTTTTAAAGTCACTTTCAGCAAAGCATCTCAGCGTTCTGCATGCACTAAGAGATAATATATGTTTGAGTCTTTGCTAAACTTAAGAAGTTAGACCACATCACTGACCAGCAGGTGGCTCTAGCATGCTTTACCACACACCAACAGAAAACTTAACATTTTCATGATTTCTTTTTTAGTTTTGCTACAAATTAAAGTCGTCTCTGATGCTTCTATACACGGTTTATTTTTCAGCATTTGTACTGAAATTGCTGCACAGTTTTCATCATCTGTTTTTTTTTTTTTTTGTGTTTCAGGATTTTGGAAGTGATGATGATAGGAAAAATAATCAACGGTGAGTCCTTTACTAAATATTATATTATTTATAAAGATATTACTCATTGTGCATTCAATGTTTGTTCTCTATTGATGAAGAATTGTCAATGGTTGGAACAAGAGTGTTTTCAGATGCTTTATATAAGATCACCAATATACGTTTGGCAGCAAACACTGTCAGTGTAGCACGTTTTATTCTGAAAAGCTTAATTAGGCAGGTTTTGTGCTGTCGCTGTTGGCAAATTAGTTGTCTCCCATCAAAGAACAAAAAGGGGGAATTGGAAAAACGGTCCATCTGTCCATGAATGTTATCAGCATGATAAATTGGAAAATAATTGAGGTACCAACTTCCATGTTTGTGTATAGCTGCACCCACATGTAAGAAAGTATTATTTCAAAAATTGTGTTGCTACGTCAAAATCCATGATGGCCAACGCCACATGTATGTAAATCTTGTTAGCTGGATAACTTGAAAATGGGCAACAGGCCAACTTACTTTTTGGTGTGTGGTTGTTTCTAGGCGTAAGAAAGGTTCCTTTGGAAAATGGTGTTGCCACTTCAAAATTCAAGATGGCCACCACCATATAAATAAGTAAACTAGCCACCCCTGTCATTTGAGGAAACTGCTTTCTAGTTTTTATATTGCCTAAAAGTAAAGTTTCCTAGGGATAGACTCAATGAAAATTTTCAGGTTGTCCAGCAGACAGTCTCTTGACAGAATCTGGTTGTCCTCCAAATTATTTGGTTGCCCACAACATTTACAATACAGAAGATAAATATCAAGAAAATGTAATTTCGTAAGTATATTGCACTAAATGCAACAGCGGCTGTGACTGGGTGGCTGTGGCTGAGTGATTAGAGCAGTAGTCCTCCAATGCAAAAATTGGGGGCTTGATTCCACAGTCACATGCCGAAGTGTTCCCGAGCAAGACACTGAATCCCTCATTTCCTCCAATGTGTGTCCAATTGGTGTACAAATGTGATAAAGCATTGATCTTTGTAAAATATCTAGTAGAGTTCTGCATGAATGGGTAAATGAGGGCACAGATTGTAGTGTAAAGCTGTTTGAGTATATTGATGAGATAGAAAGGCACTATATAAGTACAGTCCATTTACAACATTTACTATATACAGATGTTCTCAGTCAGCCATCTTGTGGACTGCTTGGGATGTCCCAAGATACTGAGTGGCAGACTCTTTCAGGAGATGCTCGAGTGGAGCTTCTTCATTCTCATCCTCTTCTTTCTTATCAGACTTTGCAAGTGAGGCACTCACAGATACTCAAGGAAGGGATTGAAGCAGAAAAAAACATTTTGACATTTCCTCCACCCCTGCCCCGCCCCTATACAACACTGCATTGTCCGCTGTGTACATGACCTTAGTAAAAGTATACAGTATAGTGTTCTCAAAATGAAGCACCGAAGTTGGAAGACTTTAAGCTGCACCATCAAGACCAACAGCATCCTGAAGGAAGAAACTGATTTTAACAACTTTTCTCTAGTTAACTTTTATGAAGTTTCAGTGTTTTCAATTGAGGGGTTGTTGGATATATTTTTTTAAAAATTTAGCACAGGAAGTCATTTTCAGAGCATAAATTAAATTAAAAAATTGTATTTACCAAACTAACAGATTTCTCCCCTAAAATGACAACAAATTCATTTAAAGGGATTATATTTACAGGATTTTGGCTCATATAGTAATTTAATAATTATTTTTCATATTTGACCATTTATTAAATTGCATTTATTACAGTACAGTTACCCTCAGTATGGTTCTAACTTTAATCAAGTTTAGCTCACCCAAACAGCAAAAACACCTTGTTGTTACTAAAACAGTGTAGAATTGATTTTTGCTCATTTTTATGATAAACTAGAAACCTGAAACTGACTCTCACAGAGAGAAATGGAAACGCACATCTTTGCTATAATCTGGGGCATATAAATATTCATCTTTTAGCGTTAATGTTGTTTAATTATAAGAACTAAAGCTACATCCACAGCCTCTCACTGTGAGAGACACTCAAGCTGAGCACTCTCTCTCTCTCTCAGACCCAGAGTTTAGTTACATGCATGGGTTGAACATGTGTATATGATGATGATGGTGCTCAGAACACATTAACATTTAATGCAAGTTAGATTTTAAGTGCAAAAGTCCTAGGAAGGTAGGGGCACGGTGTTGGAGGAGGGAGTGAGGTGATGATGTATCAGTTCTGGTATCTGCCCTGGCTGCAGCAAATTGGTCACATGTGAACACATACATTTAGACATTTAATAATTTATTACGTCATCACCTTCGGTTAGGGTACTATTTTCCACCTTGGAAGATGGTACAGGAAACATTGATTGTTGCTCTCACCTGTAGTCTGTCTCTTTGAGTTAGGAACACTGAGCACACCCGTTGTGTATCAGACAACATGACCCGCCCTGCCTTCTCTGATTGGGTCAAACTGTGGCGCTGGTTCTTTTTGTCAGTTTAATCCCCGTGTCATCATTAGATTGGGTGGCTTTTAAAATACTACAATACATGTTTTTCTTTCCCCTTTCATTTTTACAGATGACACAAATCCATCGCAGTGACTGAGAACTTTTAATCCGTCTCTGTTTCACTTGATTGTCCACCAGACAACCTCATGGCAAGATCTGGTTGTCCAAGACCAAAATACATTGTTTTGGACAAACAGAAACCGCTTGTTTTTTCATTCATTCAACCTTTATTTATACAGATTAGTCTCAGTGAGCCTCGAGGACTCATTTACAATAGAGACCTATTTTTATCAAAGAATGATGACAACAGTAGACAATCATAAAAGAATGCATATACATGTGGACCCCTGGTTTCTTCTAGTGGTTGAAGATTAATCTATGGTGGCCAAGGTCACCATTAGCCATGCCCTAGCTCCATCATTGGTGGTGGGTAAAATAGCTCCTTTTGGTCACCAGGTTTCTCTGCACTGCCTTGGACAAGAAATAACAAACTTAAACTCTTCTCTTTTACTGTGTAACTCAGCCACTTGAATTTCTTGCACCAAAAAACTGTAAAATTTACTTGCATTCCCTAACACTCATCTCCAAAACGACAAACATTCACTATTCTACTCTTTCATCAACCGAGCAATGTTCGTTCTTGTTTTTACATTAAGTTAGCTATACTTGTAAATTCCTCCGTATGACTTTTTATTTTAAATGTTGAATTAAATATTTCTGTAAAAATCTATTTAGTCAGTCGGAGAGATTTATTTGTCATTCGCACCACATGTGGTATGTGTGGTGGAGCGATATTATGTACGCAGGGTCCCAGTTACATCCAACAATAAAATGCAAAAGAAAAACATTAATAAGATCTAAGATATATAATTAAGAAAAACATCAGCTAAATAACACACTAAGCACTAATAGCATAAAAAACATTGTCGAACAGCAGCATGAACATGAGTCTGTGTGAGCAGATGAGCATGAATGAACACAGCAACATGAAACAGATCAGCAGCAACATGAAACAGATCAGCAGCAACATGAAACAGATCAGCAGCAACATGATGTGATTTTTCACAGTGATTATCCTGATTAGAGATTCATGAGTCTAACAGCTTCAGGGTAGAAGGTTTAGGAAGGTTAATCATAACAGCATCAGCCGACCTACGTGATGAACAAATTTATAATACAGTATAAAATAAAATGTGGAAAAGTAGGAATATTTAAACTTGAATAGTTCCAGTAAGGTAAAAGCTGAAGCAGAGTTCTGTTGGAGCTGATAGGATGTGAGATGGGGAGGTCTGATTTTGGATTTTGAAATTTGAAAGAGCTACAAAAAGTCCCACCAAGGTTCCTAATCAAACCGAGCCAAATCAAGAAAACCATGAAATGTTGGTGATTTTAAGTCAAAGGTTTTGTTAGTTTAATTAAGAAAGAGGAAGCTTAAACCTTTCAGGTGTGTGTGTTTTAAGCATCTTTACTTTGTGAAACTTTTTTTTAAAGACTTGGGCTTTTTAAATGCCGTTTTTATTTTGATTATAAAAACTAATCCGACAAAAAACGTGCTCGTTTCGTCCTCAAAGCAGCTGAATGAACATTTGATTCAACATGAAAAGTTTTTTTTATTTATTGTTCTCAGTTACATAACAGAATGCATAAACTTTTATCCCCGCTCAGACACAAAGCTTTCCTTTATCCAGCCTGACGTCACAGAAGTCATGACATGAGTCAGCAAAGCATTGGCGCAGACTCCATCTTTGTGCTGAATGTGTGTTTAAAAAAAAAAAGAAAGCTCTGTCACGTTTTATGATTCGCCAGTCTTTATTTAGTATTCTGCATTTTAAACACGGGCCCGCTGCTGTGTAACGTTCCCACCTCCTGCGCTCTCTCGCATGAATGATGGCATTGTTGCAGGGTGTTGCACGGACAGAGCCGATTGCTGAATCACGAGCTGCGAAGGAGGAGAGACAGGAGCAGAAGCCCAGCAGGCCCGGCAGTGCAGACATGGAAGCGTCGGAGCGTGAGGTGGAAAAGAAAGCTTTGAGAGGCTGCAGTCAGAGGAAGCTGTAGAGGGCTGTTAAACAGGAAGGGGCTTCTGGAGGAGGCAGACTGTAAATAATAAAACCAGCAGGATGCATCTAAAGTCTGGATGTGTGGAGAAAGCTGCTCTGACTCGGGTGGACATCTGCGGCGTGTAAGTTCTCAAAGTACGATAAAAGTTGAAGGATTAAAGATAGAAGTGGGGACTCAATAAAGCTGAATAGATGTAGATAAATGTGGTTTAATGTGTGATTCATAAAAACATCAAATATGTAAAAGGTCCTGGATCAGAACTCAACATACTTCCAGCTTCAGACAACATGTCTTATTGTTCTCAGTGGGCGAGGCAAGACTGAGATAAGATAGAACTTTATTGATCCTGCAGGAATAAAACTTATCAAATCTTATCAAACAGCAGTCATCTAATAGTTTAATCCGTCAGTGTTAAGACAACCATAGAATAATGGCTGAGAGTAGACTTTAGATAAAAAAGACTTACAAAATATATTTTGTAAGTCCCTAAAGAGTTTTGTTTTTCAGACATGACTTGTTGTCAACACAGCTGATATTCCCCCAAATAAGAAATGTTCAATCATGTTTTTGTTTCTTTTTGTTAAACAAGAATAATTAATGTACTATTCTCTTACTAATTATTTTCAATTAAAAAAAAAAAACTTTTTTTTTTTTTTGCATTTACACTGGGTTCATAGCGACTGGCAAGAAAATCTGGAAATTTTACAAACAGGGAAAAGTCAGAGAATTTGAACACTAATCTGCTGATTAAGAAAAGATTAAATCAACCAGAAAAATCACTGTAATGTCACTTTAATTTGGAGATCTGTTTCTTGTGCTGCTGATTATCCATGCTGCTGATTTCTGACCTGCTGTATTCATACCCATCTGCTCACAACAGACTCATGTTCAGACTGCTGTTTTATACATCGTATTACATCATTATTGTTTAGTGTTTATCTTAGATTCTTGTATACTCTTTCTTTTTTTATACTTTATATTTTTGCTGTTTTTTGGGTGTAACTGGGACCTTGAGTACGCAATATCAGTGGTTAGCACTGTTGCCTCACAGCAAAAAGGTCCTGGGTTCAATCCCCAGTTGGACCTGGGGTCTTTCTGTGTGGAATTTGCATGTTCTTCTCGTGCATGTGTGGGTTTTCTCCGGGTACGCCGGTTTCCTCCCACAGATCAAAAACATGCATGTTAGGCTGACTAGCAGTACCAGGCCTACTTTGTAAAAGAGATCTGTGATCTCAATGGGATTTGCCTGGTTAAATAAATAAATAAATACATTTTGTTCCACCTCATGTACCACATGTGATGCAAATGACAATAAAGTCACCTTGAATCTTGAAGATCTTAATGATATTTTAATGTGTACATGTATTAATGTTAGTAATTTAGTACCACCCAGTCCATGTTCTGTTTCTATACTTACTGATTAACTAAGATGGCTTTTTAGTGTCTGATGTTAACAATATAATTGATTATTAGGAATGATTGCTGTATGCATGTACCGCAGTCTATTTGCTGTCATCTCTGAATGATGGTGACTGAAATATCTCCTGGAATTTCAAGATTTGTTTAGTGAAAAATCAGAGGAAACTCTGGGCAATTTGTTTTGATGATATGCTGGGAACCCTGGTAAAACACAATGCAGGTAATGTTCACTAAAATATATATAATAATAATAACAATTACCTGGACTTGATGTTTCTGTTTCGAGCTTTTCTCTGTCCACTGCATAAATGTTGTTTTGTACTCCACATGAACGCAGATATTTTAAATAATCCTCCATTTAAAACAAACTACTCATTCAGGAACAAAAATCACTTTTAGGTATTTACTTACATAACTATGAGAGGAAAAATTTGCTAGATTTGTTTAAAATTGTCGTTATATGGCTTAATATTTTTTCTTCTTGACAAATTTCACTGTGGTGATATTTAAGATTTAAATTCTGACATCTCTCAGCTGACTGATGTGGAGAGTCTGATTTTTTTTATTTATTTTTTTTATGTCTGAGTAGGAAAAACCAGACAATGACTGGTTTGGTGACGTGTTTAGAGTAAAATACTAACTTTCTTTTTTTGTTGTTTGAAATGATGGATGGATGAAATGTTGAGACTTTAACGTACTTGTTTCTGTCTTTCAGCCTCAGTGAAAGCTTCTTCATGGTCAAAGGAGCCGCCCTCTTCCTGCAGCAGGGTGGCAACGCACAAGGACCGAAGACTCCCACACACCACAAACATGCAGGTACACACGCACGCTTTTCTAATTGGGAACACTGGTTTTGGTCCCCAGTTGCCAAGATGTCCCCAAATCTCTGGTATGTAAGCTGGTCTATGTCTCCAAATTTAGCATAAACAAACACACACACACACACACACAAGTTAAGTTGTATTTACTGCATGCATCAGGATATTTACTGCAGGTTTTCTCTAATCAAAAAGTTTATATGACTGACAAATTGTTATTTATGAATTTAACTTTATGAATTTAACTACAATGTTGACAAAAATAAAGAAAAAAATTCTCATTTTGGTGTCCTTTTTATTTGCCTGCGTAAAAAGTTTAAGTCATCATCAAGCTGTCAGAAATCTTTGTGCTCTGTTGTTTTTTTGTCTGGTTTTTGTCTTTTAAGATTATTTTTTTGTTGAATCTTTAATGGTTTTAGTACAAAACAAAACAAAAAAAAAATTTGTAGATGACTCGGAGGACTCATTTCAGCTAAACTGGCTTGTTTTGGTTCAACATCAATGGGGGGAAAATGTGCTGTTTGTTTGTTTTTTCTTTTGTTTGTTTTGACTGTACCTTAAAAAAGCAAATCAAAAATGAGCACACAGGAGATGTAAATGGATGCCAAGATTGCACTAATTTGTTTTAAAGGGAAAAAAAAATCACTTTTAATCACTTTGTGCTTTTCTCACACCTTGGCCAACAAGGTGATGAAGCTGTTTGATTACCGAGTCAAACGTTGGACATCTTGGTTCACGTTAGTAACGATAGTTAATAAAATGCCTCTTAACTTCCACCAGATCAACCTACGATTCTACAATGTTGTGAATCACAGTTCATTTAGCTCAGCCAGTAATCTAACCTGTGCCCATGTTTCATTTGCAGGTGATTTACCTCAACACCTGCAGGTCATGTTTAAAGCCCTCCGGTCTGAAGATTGCATCAAGCTGGTCAGTTTTAGTTCTTGTAAAAATGTATTTTTTCCATTAGAGCTGACTGTCATGAGATGATGCTTCGTTATGTGAATAACTGGCTAGCACCTTGTTGCTCTGTCCCTTTTCTGCCCCAATTATAGTGTAAATTTACTGATTGTTTTATATTTCACTCTGGACATCTTATGTTGAAGAGGGATTGATTATCGTCGGTGTGTTTGAGAACATATGAATAAAGTTTTAGGCCTTTGAAACACAAATTTCTGTAAATAATTCCTCCAAGCTGCTTCTTTGTCCTCCAAACTGCGACTCTTATTTTTGTTTGTGGACCAAAACGTGCCCACTGAGGGGTTTGGAAAATCGTTTTTAATTGTGTTTGACAACTATTTGTTGGTGCTTTAATGTAAAAAAAAAAAGTTGCTCACTAAGCAGTAAGTTGGTACCACTAATCCTTCATCCTTTGCACTATTAATATGCACATTCAGCAAATTAAGAGTCCTGACAGAAGAGAATTTATTCTGTTTTAAAAATCTGTGGCCGTCATAAAAGGTGGGCGATAATGTAAAAACCCATGTGATATTCATTCCTTCAAGAAATGCCAGTTGTACAACCTGATGAACTGGTCTTTGCAGAGTCCGATTAGATAATTGCTTTCATTTTTATTTACCAAAAGTTTATATTGTGACCACATTAAATCTGTGTGGACTTCAGAAATCAGATGTGCTTCATTATGCAAATTAGTGCATCAAAGATGAAATGGGCATATAATCTGAGTTTAATGGTGGACTTTTGAAATAAAAAATAGTTAGTTTTTTAGGTAAGGGAGGCACCATAATAAACATAAATTCACCTAATTAGCATTTTTTTTACTCTAAAACACGTCAGGATGAAACCCTTAAAGCAACAGATTTACTCTGAACCCGTCTGGTTTTTCATGTGGTTCCATACACAGCATCCTAAAAGCAGGTAATTCATACATCAAATGGTGTTGGGGTTTTTTTTCTAACTTCTTTTGTTTCCCAGGCTGTGCGGTTAGAAAGTGTCCGGTCGGACCGGGTGCGTTACATGGTTGTTATCTACACCAACGGCCATCAAGGCACAGAGGAAGATATTGTTCTGGGAATGGATTTTGCAGACAAGGACAGGTATAACATCTGCAGCTGTGCGTTCTGTATACTTTCAGTCAACTATTTTTTTGGATTTGCTGAAATAATTTTCGTCCCATCTCTAGTAAAAACTGCTCCGTTGGGATGGTCCTGCCTCTGTGGAGTGATACCAACATACATTTAGATGGAGATGGGTGAGTTTCAGTCACGTTGCCTTAAAAACATTGTTATTAAAAGATAAATTAGTTTGTCCTGGTTGCCATGTGGGCTTTGCTGCCCTCCACTGGAAGTTCTATGAATTACACACTTATCTCCAGAGAACAGTTTTTGCTGACCTTGTCAGTATGCTGGAGGAATGTTCCACCGTTCGGTGTCATGAATAGTCCCACGACCGAGTCCCATCTAGTGTCTCATCTACTCATCGTCCACCGTCTTCATCTGTACTCAAACTGATCCTCCTCTTCCTCACCAGAGGCTTCAGTGTGAACACAGCAGGGCGTTCTCATGTCTTCAAGCCTGTGTCTGTGCAGGCCATGTGGTAAGTTGGTTTTTATGTTGGAGGTGTGGTCTCATTAACGTGGGGTGGAAATTGCTCATAAACGTCCACAACTGATCAGCTTTTGGTGTCAACTCAATTCAAGATGGCCGCTGTAGCCTGCTGACCTTTAAAAAGCACAAAAAGGACTACAAATCAGTCAGTTATACACATACTGAGCTAAAATTTAGTCTGGTAGTAAAGTGGATCCCCCAGCATTGGTTCCGAGTACTAGATCATGCAAGATCTTTGTTTACAATTTGCCAATAACAATTTGCTTTCAACTCTTTTTTTTTTATAGCAAAATTTCTCATGAACCAGCTGAAAGTATTTTAATGAAAATTTCATAATTTTAGTGTAGTAGTAGCTGAGGGTTAAGTGCTACTTGTTGCTCACGATTTTTGTTTAAAACTTTAGCATTAATTGTTGGAAGCAAAATATCTCATGAACCTCGTGTCAGATTTTAATAAAACTTAGAAGATAATTAGTGAACGTACGTCTACAACTGAATAGAGTTGGGGAATAAATCCAATTCAGCATGGCTGCTACAGTTAATTGACATCAGTCAACACAAAAACAGATATTACGATCAGTTTTACAAATATTAAGCAAACATTTGATGTGGTAGAACCTGAAGCATTCACAACTGTGACCTCTTGCAATAATACATGAGATTGTGCAAAAGGTTATTTTGTTATAAGACCCCCTAAAGACGTTTATTCTGCAGATTAGGGCACCGTCCATGGACAGCTGATAACTGTGCTGGCTCCAAAACCTCAGGAAAAGGACAAAAATACTCTTGTCCATTAATGATTGTTTCCTAAACAAATTGAAAAAATCTAATTTTCTGTTGTTTCAGCCCTAAACATTTTACTTCTGCGCTCAGCAGCACGAGAGTTTATATTTGTGCTTTGAAATCCTGTTCAACTTTATTTCTGCAACGCTGGTTATAAATGAAATGTCTTTGCTTCTAAACTTTGTGACATAAACCAGTCCATGTGTACAAATTAGCAATGAGCCAGCAACAGATTTTTATAGTAATTATTATTTTGACCTTATAGACTTCCAATAAGGGCAGCACGGTGGCGCAACTGGTAGAGCTGCTGCCTCTCAGCGAACAGGTCCCTGGTTCAAACCCCGGTCCAGGGGCCTTTCTGGGTGGAGTTTGCATGTTCTCTCCGTGCATGCGTGGGTTTTCTCCGGGTTCTCCAGTTTCCTCCCACAGACCAAAAACATGCATGTTAGGCTGATTGGTAACTCTAAATTGTCCCTAGGTGTGAGTGAGAGTGAATGGTTGTTTGTCTCGTTTGTCTCTATGTGGCCCTGTGATGGACTTGTGACCCGTCCAGGGTGTACCCCGCCCCTCGCACAGTGATTGCTGGACATGGGCACCAGCGACCCCCGTGACCCAAAATGGAATAAACGGCTAAAGATAATGGATGGATGGACTTCCAATAAATTACAGGGGGAATATACAACACGGAGACCTAACTAGGCATGTATAATCATGTCTTTGTCTTTGGACTGCAGTAGCTCAGTGGTCAGTGCTGAAGTCCTGCAATCCTGAGGCCGTAGGTTCGAGCCCAGGCTGTGTCTGGAAGGGTAATATCCATTTTAAAAGTTCAGACCTTATCATTTTAGTGAGAATAACAACTCCTGATTTATTTTAGGAGCATGAACTGATAAACCTCAGCCAAACAGTATCCTGATGCATGCTCAATAATCCAGGTAGAATAATCTAAAAATCCTCTGGACGGGTTCAAAAAAAATTGTAGAAACGTTTCATCTTTTATCAGATTGAAGAAGACTTTTGGATAAAAGATGAAACATTTACAATTTTTTTTTTTTTTTGAACCAGAGGACCTGACGGAACAGTGTTCGTAGAGTGTAGATGCCACCTGCTGGTCAGTTGTTAAATTACAAGAAAGCTTCCCTAAAAACTTTTTTTTTTTTGGATGCAGTCTGATTTACTGTTCTACATCTACTTCTTGTTTGTGCAGCCGCTTCAAGACCTAACTGTGTTTCCTCAGGTCTGCCCTGCAGGTCCTCCATAAGGCGTGCGAGGTGTCACGTCGCTACAACTACTTCCCAGGGGGCATTGCTCTTATGTGGATGGCGTTCTATGAGAGCTGCATCACCTCGGAGCAAAGCTTTGTCAACGAGTGGAATGCAATGACTGACCTGGAGACAACCCGGTCCGATTCTCCCAACATGTTTGTCGACCGGTGAGATCCCAGGAGTGCCATTTATTACTTTCTTTCATCAGTGGAAACTTGACTTTTGTGTGTAAATATTTCCTTTATTTTAACAGGCCGACTGAACGAGAACGAACCGAGTGTCTCATTAAAGGGAAACTTCGACACATCATGATGTTCCAAGACCTGGAGAACATCACCTCGAAGGAGGTACTGTATGTGCCACGTCATGGCCTCAACGGGCCGTGTGATAGGTCAAGAACGCTCCATGATCTAATTTTAGCAAAAAATGCACAAAAAAGATTGGAGATCAGTAATGTTAGCAGTAAACAAGTGCAAATGAGCATTTAGTTAAATAAATATTCAGAAGTGCTGAGAAAGAATGTCTGTTAGCTTACTATGAAAGGAGAATGATGAATTTTTATTTTGTGAAAGTTTGCGTTACAAATGAATTCTTCTTCTTCAGATCCGTAACGAGCTGGAGCAGCACATGAGCTGCAACCTGAAAGAATATAAAGAGTTCATCGACAACGAGATGTTTCTGATCCTGGGTCAGATGGATAAAGCCACGCTCATCTTTGACCATGTTTACTTGGTGAGTTGGTTTGATCTGAAATATGTTTGCATTCAGATCCCAAGGTAAAACGTAGTTCTCTCTTTCAACTCCAAAAATATCTTAAAATCTTAAATTCAATTATTCAATTAAATATGTCTAAAAAAATGTTGGATTTATTTTATATTTTTTAATCCTTTATACTCAAAGCACTCTTATTTTTGCTTTCACATGCAACATATATGATTAGCAGTTTTTCCCCTCACCGCGAGGTTTCAACCTGCAGGCCAGCTTAGATTTTATTTATGTGTATTTGTATCATGTCTTTGCCTTTGTCTAATCTAAGCTAAAATAAATCCCCACCCCCTGCCGCCACACAGCTTTAGGATAAAGCAGGGTTAAAATAATAAAAGACTCCATTTTTTTTACTAAGTTTCTGCCTTTATTTCCCCTGCAGGGCTCTGAGTGGAACGCCTCCAACCTTGAAGAACTACATGACTGCGGGTCAGCAGTTCTCCTCTTTTTTTTATAAAGCCTCGCGTTTCAGTGTTTGACAGTAACTAATAAATCTAAAGTATGTTTGCATTTGGATGGTGCATCATGATACATTTACTACCTCCGTCTTTTCAAAGCTCCAAAATTCACGGTTGAAACCCGTGCCTTCATCTAAAAAGTTATTTTTCGCTGCAAAAATAATCCGAGAACTTGTTTACTCTTTTTTTTTTATTAAAAGCTTTTTGTGGCAAATGCTATGCTAAAGAGCTCAAACCACACTGTCTGCCATTTTGAGAACCAAAGAGAGACAGCCCATGTCACGTCAAGGGGCCTCCCTCCCATTTTTCTTATGAGACATGCTGCTTGCTCCCTCACTATCCATTCTTCAGTTCAAACAGTCTTGTACTGCCATCCAGTGGTTAAAAAAGGTACTACACGCAAAACAAATTAAACATTTCTTCTTAAATTTGACGATACTTACTAATTATCGTCAAATTTCAAACAATATTATCGTTTATCGCAATAATTTCTGCGACAATTTATCGCCCAGCAAACTTTTATCGTGACAGGCCTATTTACTACCGCAGATTAAATAAAAATATGTATTTGCTGAACCCAGAATATGTAGCTAATCTAACCTGAAATCCTAACAAAACCGTGATGTGAAATGCTAAAGTGACAGTGTATTAATAGTTGTTGGTAAAGAAAGTTTAAAAAATATCTTGTAAAAGCAATGTATGTCTGAAAATATGATGTGTAATTAAAACTAGTATGAAACGTGTTACCGTAAATGGCAGCTAAACTACACGGGGAACCGAAGAGTTAAAGCTTTATTTGTTTTGGTTGCAGTGTTGGTTACATTCTGAACGTCACCCGAGAGATCGACAACTTCTTCCCCGGGATGTTTTCTTACCACAACGTTCGTGTGTACGACGAAGACGCCACTGACCTGCTGGCCCACTGGAACGACACCTACAACTTCATCGTCAAAGCCAAGTGAGAATTAAACGCAAACTGCTGGTTTTGAGGGGCTTCGTGCAGATTCATCACTATTAGATTCATATCAGTCTGACAGAGCTGTTTGAACAATGCTTTGATAATAAAAGGTGGATTTTTGTTTTCTTCAGCCACATTTTCACAGACTCTCATGCTGCATCACTGAGATGTGAAATGGTGCAAACAGCCTGGTTGCTATGCAACTGTCTAACCTCATTAAAACTGGACTTTTGTACAGATCGAGTTGAGGCGAAGTGATTCCCCGAAGTAGATTTCTGCTTTTTAAAAATCTTAACAATATGACTAACTAGTTACTTTTCCTCCGTCAAATAGGAAGAATAATTCAAAGTGCCTGGTGCACTGTAAGATGGGAGTGAGCCGGTCTGCCTCTACAGTCATTGCCTATGCGATGAAGGAGTACGGCTGGTCCCTGGAGAAAGCCTACAACTACGTCAGGCAGAAGAGGAGCATAGCTCAGCCAAACGCTGGCTTCATGAGACAGCTGGCAGAGTACGAAGGAATCCTGGATGCCAGGTAAGCAGGTCTTCAGGTTTGCTCAACCGCACAAGTCAACAAAGGTGCTTTTGTGCATTTTATTTATTCATGCAGCCACGTTCTTTTGTATTTGCAAGTTCTTTCCTTCTAATTCACAGCAAAGTATGTTTGTAAATGTTGCAGTAAACAGCGTCACAACAAGCTGTGGAGGCCTGGCGCAGACGAGGAGGGATCTGATGATCTGCAGGCTTGCGGTCACTGCGCCGGTGGGGAGGAGACGCCGGTGCTCAGGGACGAGGAAGGCTGCGGGGCGTCTCCTTGCAGGGGTCTGGTGATGGAGCCCCTGGACTCTCTTAACTACAACTATTACTTCAGGCGTTTGTCGGACTCTGCGCTCGACAGCGAGCCGTCCACCCCAGTGCGGGGACCTCCACTTCTAGGTATGGAGAGGGTTTTCATTGAAATTGAAGACGTGGAGAGAGACGCCCTATTGGAGGACGAGGGCTTCCCCATGGCCCACTTAGCCCTACCTGGAGAGGGGACGGCAGCTCAGACCTGCGGACGCCTTGACCCCATGGAGGACATGAGGCTGAGGCTGGAGTTTAGCACTTTGGAAGAGGAGGATGAGGAGGAGGCTAAGAAAGAGGAAGCTGAGATGGCGGCCTTGGCTCAAACGCCTGGAGGTTCAAATGGGAGGAAAGCGGAGAAGGAGGCTGAGAGGACGGAGGAGAGCCAGCTGGGTTTAGCTAACCTGAACACCAACAACAGCAACCGCCTGGCCGCCAAGCGTAGCTGTCCTGCAGCGTTTGATGTACGTTAAGAAAATGAAGTAGTGGATATAAAATTCACACATTTAAATCCTGATTTTATGTTCAATTAAAATGTGATTTTGCTGCTAACCCTGTTCTGTCTGCTCTAATTCTGGATCTTTGCAGGACAGTGCCAGCACAGGAAACCCTTTAAAAGTGAAGCCTTCCTATCAGTCCTGTAAAGACTGCATGCGTCTGCCACAAGGGCGGCGCTGCGACCGTCCTGCAGGAGGCCGCTCCCACCGCCTTAACCCCGCCCGCCACTGTTCCGTCCCCACCATTTGCATAGACCCTCCTGGGACACATTTCCCCTCCACCCCAATGTTCCACTCCCTGTCCACTCCTGCGGTCCTCCAAGCCAACCTGGTTCAGCCGTGCACCACGTGCACCCTCGGTGACACGTCTGCTCCTCAGAACAACCACCAAAAACTTTTCTCGCCCATGAACTGTGAGGAGTCGCCTCCTGACGGCGGCTCGGCGCAAACGGAGGACATGGACGAGCCGCAGGAAGTGACATCAAGTACTGAGGCCGTCAGTGTGACGGGTGCAGACGGGTTGAATTTTGGTGTTGCAGGAGAACAGGCTGTGACTCAAATACGAATGCCCCGACTCGGGATTAAATTTGGTGTTGAACTGAAGCTGCCGAGCCTGGCCATGGAGAGCCAGCTTCCTGTAGGGCCTCTGCCTTAATTCAGAACCTCTCACGTGGACCCGATGGAGGAGCTGACGTCACACTGCCTCAAGGACTCTTGACGGCTGAAGAACACTAGACGACCCCCGCTGTGATGACCTCTACTGTAACATCCTTTCTTCATAGCTTCATTTTAACAATTTGCAGCAGTTTCCTGCACATTTACAGAGAGCGGTCCGAAGCATCTGGCACCAAGATCCAGATGAGGCTGGTCCTTGTCACCTGCTGATAAAGGCTCCCACCACACATGCAGGTTCACGCACACTTCCTTCCACCTTCAGCGGCATTACTGCCATCTTACCTTGAACAAGCAGGTTTGATGCAATCGTGGTAGTTTGTTAAATCTAGTTCTTGCTCCAATCTGGTACTTTCATTTTAAACCCGCCTGAAGTTGCTGCATGCTGATTGTTTCCACCACAACTCTGCAGCAGTATTCACGAAGGAGTTCAGTAAATATTAACAGCTCAGCTCACTGCATATCCACTTATTAGCACGTCTAAAGCACTTTGAGTTATTCTTGCAGCAGCTTTTGCATCATTATAGGACATTTTGTGTGAAAGCATCATTCATGGAAAGTTTCTGACCAGCTCTTTTATCATAATTTGTCCTTCAAGCTTTTTAGGCTGTTTTGCTCAAAGCTGGTTTAGTCCTGTGTGGCTGGTTCACCCTGATCTCCTTCTTTAGAGTAAATAAAATCTTGTACTTGGTGCTCAGATTAGCTCCTGAGAGAGCAGGATCACACCAAGCACATGCTTAACAAATGTCAGCCATCTTTAATTCTAAGTGTTTTTGTCATAAAGTAAGATTCAGTTGGAAGAATCAATTATCAATCAAAAGGTACAATCCTCAGTCAAATTTTCTTTTTATATAAAATTAGTCACCTGAACTAATTCTCTCATGCCTATTAAAATGATGGAAGAGATGTTTCTATAGTCAAACAAACAAAAAAACTCAAATGGGCTCATGATGGAATCATTTTGAATGTAACGTCATATTTTTGGACTCATTTTACATTTGTTTTTTTCTTCCCTCAGAGGCCCGCTGGTGTAAATGTGATTATTTATTGTTCAGTGAACTGCATTAAGATTTAAGTAAATGTAATTTAAAATATTCCCCATTTCCTTTGTGGGATTTCCGTTGGTGTTTAGCACAATAAAGTCAACCTTTTATCCAACAACTGAGTAGTTTAGGACACAGGTTTTGACTTTTCGACAATCACTTTATCTTCTCATTACATTCAAAGATCCAGCTGTTTTTTTTATTTTAATCTGAGCCACATGTGTTCTCTGCACATCTGTCTGTTAATTTATGATGTGTTCCTGTTGTTTAAGGCACGCTGGGTGTGCTGCTGCTGACTGAAGCCTGTGCGTGCAGGATAAGCACCTGGGAATTACTTAACTCCGTTCTGAGCTCTTCAGGTAGAAAACTGGAAAGAATTAATGCCAATTATTTTTCCTTCTTTAATTACTATTTTCCAATGGCTAAAACAGTGCATCCTCTAATCCTTTCCCTCCATAAACACAATCTGAAAGAACTGCTCTTTTAATTGTTTAATTTCATTTTGAGCCATGTTTACGGGGTTAAAGATAATTAAAGAGAGAAATATTAGGAACAATGACTGAAAAAATTAAGTTTAAACAAAGGTTTATTTTGGTAATAAATATTTAGTTTTTCAGAGGTATAATTTACAAAAAAGACTGATATCACTTTAGCTGGTTGGTTGGAAAGACTTTTCTCCAACTATAACTAGGGATGCACGATATTATCGGCATAGTATCGGACAATATTAGCGATAAAGTTAAATATTGGCCTTTCCATCAGAATAGCTCACCGATATAAAAGGTGCTCTTTATTTTATACAGTATATGTATATATATATATATATATATGATAAATAAATAAATAAAGGTGCCCTTTTTCTATGACAACCCAGTGTCATGGATGTCTGCAGGACCAGCACAACGTTATGACATCACACGTGCCGTTGAGTTTAGGTTTGTGAAAATTTTCAAATTTGCACTGTTTGAGTGTTGTCACTGTGTTAGAGAGTAAATGTCATGAATAAATTTGGCATTAAACATAATCCAAGTTAAACTGTTACATCATTTTCAGCCCCCTTTTTGCCATCTGCATTTTGTAGCAGGCGAAACTGACAAAGACCGTGCAGAATAATGTATTTTAATTCCACAGCAGAGAAAGTTATGTCGTCTCTGTAAACAGGTCTAGTGGGAAAAATATCGGTTATTGGCCAAATAAGTTTTAACATATTGGCATATCAGATATCCTCCAAAAATCGAATATCGTGCATCCCTAATTACAACACATCTCATGTAGATTTTATCGACAGCTTGTTGAGCTGCAAATTGTAACCAAATGTCCAAATTCAAATTTCCAAAATCTCCCCTGAAAAGACCAAATTCTTCCTGTTTTATTTGTGAAGGAAAAAAACAAAACATGGAATAAATTGTGAAAAGTTTAAATGAGGATCAGTGTTTATCTGCTGTAGAAACTGCAAACTGTATGTAAGAGAGCTGCTCCAGCTTTTTGAAAGCATTAATTTTTCTTGTTTTTTTTTATCACTCGTCAGTTTAATCTGTAATTCCCTGGAACCTGGTTAATCTGGCTAATTAGCGGCTGCATTGGTGTCATTTTCTAAATGGTGTAAAAGGTTCACAGCTTAAAAAAGTATTGATTTCAGAAAAATGGCTGACTGATATAAGATGCTTGTGATTGTGTTGGTTTTGTTTCCTGCAGGTATTTGCTTATTTATTTTAGATTTCAGAACAAAATATTGTCCCAAAAACTGCTTAAAGACGGGAGACATGTGGTTTGTGGCAAATCTGGTACCGATATTTTCATAATTCGAGACTTCATCTTGTTTTTACTTTTATTGTATTATATTATTCATTAGATGTTTTCTTTTAAATTACTTTAGTTTTGTTTTGTTTTGCTGGTTTTGGTTTAAAAAGACTTTGCACATCATTAAAGCAATAGTTCAGATCTTTTTAGGTGGGGTTCTGTGAGAACACTCAGCAGTTAATATCTTACCTGTTGTAGATAGCTCTTTGTGTGACCTCAGTTTGAAAAAAAGTAGATTTTAATCCAGACTGATGAGCTAAAGACTAAAGTGGGCAGGGGCTGGGGGGGGGGGGGGGGGGGGGGAATGAATTGCTGCCATCTTAAAACAATGCTAACTCTTGTTTCATAGTGGTTCATGCGAAGGTTATTTTATAAACATTTCCTACAATTAATAACACAATTCATAATTATATATGGTATTTGCAAACACAAGCAGCAGCAGCTAGCTGTAGCACTTCCAGCAGTATTGGCATCATATATATTCCTGAATAAACTTGAAATTTTTAAAGTTGGCATTAAAGTTTATAAAATAGCAACTGCATGAATCACTTTGAACTTTTTTTCAGATAGTGGTGTAAGAACGGCCTCTTTGATTTCAGCTCTGTTCAGACCAGCTGTTAGCTCAGCGTTCCAGTCAGAGTTTAACTCACTGTATCCAAACTGAGGCCGCTTGCAGAGCTATCTACGACAGGTAAGACGTTAATCGTTTGTACCATTTTGCAGAATCCCACCTCAAAAGATATGAACTGTCTTTAAGCACCGTAGATGAATAAAAACAGGTCAACCTCTAGAATATGCAGAAAAATGTGCAGCCATGTTGCAATTTTACGGCTTTGGTTGTTATTACACGTCATGGACCAACAATTAAACACTTTAAATTCTAATTAGGATTCTCTGCTCGCTCTTGACAGGTGAGCTGTCTCTGGACCGCAGCACCACTTCTGGTCGTTTGCCTCCTGTTTTGCTTTTATATTGAAGTGCCTTAACTGTGGCCATAGCTCTGCTGTAAAACGCACGAGTGCGTCGATGGTATCCAGACTTATCACTCCCTGAGTAGGCTGGCTTCTCGTAGTGTTTCACTTGGCACATAAATACTGTATGCAAACACACATTATGCTCACGCGCACTAGCTTCCGCTCCATCAGTGCTCGCTAATGGACTTCCATTTATTATTGGCCAATAATGTTGCTGTGTTTGAAGTTGTCGAGACTTGTGGTGCTTTGTGTTGGTTCAGAGCCGGCTGAAGAACCTTATTTACTGGAATGAGAAGTATCATTTGCATCAAAATATTAGATTGTCTTTAAAGTGTACCAGTCTGTGCATATCTTTCCTCTGCCCCACATTAGCTTGCAGACATGGTCAATATTAAGGAAAACAATGCTACTGTGTATTAAGAAGTACGAGTTCTTGTACATACATCAGAAATGACTCATCCAGGTGAGGGGTTCATTTAAAGTGACTGTTTTTTTTCAGTTTTTATCTGGATAAATTGCAGGAAATGGGCAACAAAAAGACAATCCAGTTAAAAGCCAAGCGTTGTGGACACATGTAATTTAAAGAAGTTCTTGTATTTATCGAGGGTAGAGCACAAGAATGTCCCGAAGCTTTTAAAGTTGAGTGGGAAAACAAAACGGGAGGAAAAGGTCTCCCTGGGAGTAAAATAAAATTCTGTTCATATTTTTGTTTTTTATTCATTTTACGTACTGTATTGTACAGTGCCACTGTTTGTTTGTGTGTGTATGCACTTTTTATTTATTTTTTTTACATTTTAAGTTGTGTCCAGTCTGATGGAAATAAAACCTTTTTTTTGCATCATCCGTGCAACTAATTGATTTTTGCATTTAACGACTAATTTTCATACTTTAAGAATGTGGTGCAACAAATAACAATGTGTGTTTTATAAAACATGTATCAGAATCGAGGCTTGTGAGCCAAATCTGGCCCTCGTTAATATTTGATCTGACCCCAAAATATAATATTTTAATCGTAAAATAATTTTTATTGTCTCATTTTCCTAAAAATAAAACAAAACTGAGCGTTCTGTACTTGGTGCAGACTTCTCCGGACAGTCAAGAAAAAAAACGTTGACATTTTTCCAGTTTTGATTTTGGTTAGGAAACGGCAACAAAGAGCATTTATGTGAGTTTGACATCCAGGTAAAGTAAAGACGCTCCAAGTCTTAAGAAAAAACAACTGAAACAGATGTGTCTGCTTTGACTGCCTCTCTCCGTCAGACGAACAGAGAATTATTTTATTGAATTAGTCAAATGAAGTCAGGCTGACATAACGAAGCAGGTGACCGCTGAAGTAAAAGCCTCCAGATGGACCAAAGTCCTGCAGGACGACCAGCAGGCCGAGCCTCAGCTTCTGTAAGTGCTTAACATTCATTTTTAGGTTAAATTAATTAAACCGTTCATTTTTAGCTGTAAGTAATAATTTGCCAAAACTTGTCAAATCGGCTTTTAATTTGAAATACTAGAGGAAAAACTTGTAGACTTACTTTTTCAAAGTGAAAGTACAAAAAAATGTGCAAAGCATGATTGTGCATAAACATCATAAACGTGTTTTTGTACATAAATCTACTAAAGTCATGAATCTTACGAGTTTTTTCATTACCGGTACATTCATTACCCGTGCCCCCTTAAAGCAGCTGCACACCTTTGTCTCTTTATGACGGAGAGGCCTGCTTTACATGCTTCATGTAAATTCTAACATCCGACCAGATCAGATGTCGAATGTTTGAGCTTACAGAGCGAGAACGTTCCGTCACAAACGACTGTCGTGGAAAAACAAGGCCCTGTTCTGAGACGGAGATAATAGTTTGAGTACAGTCACAAGCCTCTTCTAAATTGTTTGCTTACTGTTGGAGGCATGAGAGACGGACAAATGGGAAAGGGGGAGGGGGGGGGTCACAAGCCACAGATGCCCTTCATTGCTGCCATTATAACATATCGATCCCAAAATAACACTTTACACGTGTAAGTCTTTTGACTGTTGTGAACCACAAATCTATCAAAATTGACAGTTTAATACCACCATTTATTTCTGCCTTGAAATACTTAAAACTTCCTGTTTTTACTGCCTGAGTGCTCGTCTTTAAACTTCCTGAACTATCAGTGAACAGATTATACAATCGACTTGATTTGTAGATAATACTTTAAGTATTTAAATTGTAAAAAAAAGAAAAAAGTTCAGTAATATAAACTGGCAAAGCAGACTTTCCACTCTAAGGACATCCCTGCGGGTATTGTAATGGCCTTTTTCTGGATAGGCCGGAGCATAAATTCATGGAAATGTTTAAATTTATGCTGGTCTGGTCACTTTGTGAGTTTGAAATGGCTAATCCTGAAGACACAACTGCACATGCAGGCCGAAGACGTTATCGTGATTGCTGGGAGCATCGTGTAACAGGAAGAACAAAGTCACCTCAAATCAACTTTATTCTTGTCTGCCGCCAAAAAACAAAGGTGGGCAATTATGTTAGCAAAAGGTGTCTGTTAGCAAAATACTTCATGAACCACTGGACCAATTGTAATAAAACCTGCGGAAAGTACTTCAGAATAGAGTTCAAAATCTTACTTCTAACCTACAAAGCCCTCAACAACCTAGCTCCATCTTATGTTACCGATCTTATTGTTCCATATTTTCCTAACGGAGCACTTTGCTCTCAGTCTGCAGGTTTACTTGTGGTTCCTAGAGTTTCCAAGAGCATAATGGGAGGTAGAGCTTTCAGTTATCAGGCTCCTCTCTTGAACCAACTTCCAGTTTCTGTCCGTGAGGCTGACATATTGTCCAGTTTTAAGACTGGGCTCAAGACTTTCTTTTTTGATAAATCCTATGCTTGTACCATATTAGCCATAGCTAATACACGATGGCCAATACAAAAATGACTACAACTCTGTGAATTCTAGAGAAATTGACCTAAAATTTGATGTGGTAGTTGCTGAGAGTCATCCACAATACATGGTATACACTGAGTGTGACATCTTACAATATCGCACGAGAATGCCCATAATATTTTTTAAGCTTTGACCAAAACGCCCACAACTCATTTCTCATTTAAGGTGATCTTAGTCTAATATTCTGACATAAAAGATGGCCGGTGATATGCATTCCTTGAAGGAATACTAAGCTTTTAATCTAAACGGCAACTTTCCTATAGACGTGCAGCCAAGAAGGCTGTCAAAAACAAGAGGTGGGGGAAAAATTACAATAAATAATTGTTTTTCTTATTTGAGCTGTGACAAAATCTGGTGTAGTGTATTTTAACAGCTCAAAGAAGATTAGAAGATGTTGTCGACTCGAGGTGCACACATTTTTGCATCTGAAATGAACTTCTGCAGTGCCCCATCAGAAAATCGGACTCTATGGGACGAAACAACGAAAGAATAACCACGTAGCATTTTAATGAACAGAATTCCAATTAAATCTAATTTATGATTAATTTAAATGTTATTTAAACTAAACCACAACCTATTTTAGAGCCTCCCTCTTTATACTCAGTTCTTTGCTTGTGGGCTAAGAATACTCACCCCACATGTCAGTCAGAGGCTGTTGAGCTTTTTTCCTTTTGCTATAATCCCCCTGTACACCATCCATCATGACTGCAGTTAAACTCTGCTCGTCGAACCTTGTGCAAACAACTGAATTTGAATTTAGAGAGAGCTTTCTTTAGATCCGCGTCACCAAAACAATCCTAAACGCTCACAGTCTGAAGGGAGTCACACATCACCACGGCAGTAATGAACAAAGCATGATGGTTCACGAAGCTAAATGAGTGAATGAAGCCACAAATTAGACAAAAATACAGATGAATTTCTACGTTTATAGTTTAAAAGAAATAAAAAGTAACTCGGTGCATATATTTTTGGTTGGGACTTTTTATCTGACCTTGGCACCCAGCAGCTGACCTCTTATCTTGTTTCTTTTTTGGCCTCTTGACTCACTGGCATCAGTCAGACCTGTTTTAATTATAGCCACGGCTACATTCCTTTCTGACACAATAGAGAGACTCTTGGAAGTAAAGTGCAAGCTGTGCATACAGATACATAAAAATAAAAAAAACGGGGAAAAGTTACAGTGAAGCGTGGGAACGTGCTGTTTGATTTGTGTGTATCTTTTCTAATTTGCTGACAGGAAAAAATAGCCATGGGGCAAAAGCTGGAGAGGGTGTCTGAACAGGACGAGGAGTCACAAGATAACTCCGACTGGTCTGAACAAACTGGAGACACGCGGCTGTCAGAGACCGCAGAACCAGAAGACGGCAAACATCCGGACGATGGCAGCTCGGCATCCCGTTGGGGGATTGGTGGGATTAGAGGGTTCAGCGTCAGCAGCCAGGCCACAGGGCAACCGGGGAAGCTCACTGTCACTTCTGCACGTACAGACCCCCAAACTGAGCAGCCAATCAGACCCATGGGTCAGCAGGAACACCTTCTGAACACCAGAGGCGAGTGGGTGGGCAGAGGCAAGGAGAGGATCGCTCAAACTCTTTGGGAGTTTAAAAGAGTCCCGAGCTTCAAGACGAAACAAATTTCTAAGGAAAAGCTCAGCTCTGAAGATAGGGCTGTGGCCTGGAGTGGAGGTAGAGCTATGGGTGATCAGAAAAATCTGAATATATCAATTAAGGATAGTAAGATGGATCCCAAGGGTCTGACAACCTCACACAATCCCAGTAATGAGGAGGACTTTGTGCCGCTGGAAAAAGATGAGACTTGGACGTCATCCCTAGTAGAAAGCAAGAGCAAAAGAGAAGTTGGAAAATCTGATAACTCCCTTGGCAACAAACTTCCACAACCTTCCAGGAATAGTCCTCAAGACAGGATTAATGAAAAGCAACACACAGAGAACTCTGATACTGTAGGAGCATGTGCTAAGAGCTCACTCAGAGACTGTTTGAAGAGGGAAATGGGTCAACATTTGGCTGAAGTGACAGGCAGCAGGTGTCGGCTAAAAGGAGTAAGTCATGCTGCCTGCAGTGAGACAACTGGAACTGGTGGAGGAACGGCAGAGACGGAGGGAACCATTGCTGCTCGCACCAAACAGGAGCTCATGCTGACGCAAAGCAGCCCAAAAGATCAGCAACGAGCAGATCCTGAGAACAAGTTCGCTGGAGTTGTGTCCCGGAGGGCTAAATCAGGGGTCTCCAGATTTTTATCAAACGCCAAACAAGATGACAGCCAGTCTCAACCTCCTTCTTTAGCACCCCAGCTACAAGACGGACACTCGTTTATTCTGGAGCAATGTGAAGACATGCCTTGTCCTCCCCTCACGGGAAACACTGATAGGAAGGTACAGGTCGCCTGCTTGAAGAAGGAGAGCGAGCTTGTTTGCTTCTCTGCTGTCGTCACGCCTCCACCTTCAACTCATCTGTTACCGAAGAACGACATAACCATGGCAAAGGCTACGTCTGCCTCATCAGGTTCCAGCGATGACCTGACGCTGACAGGAAAACCTAAAGTCAAGGGTCCGCCTCCTCCCGTCCCCAAAAAGCCCAAGAACCCTTTTATAAAGCTCAAAACCGCACAGTTAAAGTCTAGTGATGTGCAAAGAAGAGACAAAGATTATCTGCGTTCAGAGGAAAGGGTCAAAAGGAGACACACTTTCCATTTTAACAAGGATCTTCCGCGCAGCAACCCAACGAATCAGGACATGTGCTTGCTGTGGGATGAAAGAGGCACCTACACCATACCAGCCAGCATTCGTCGACTGTCAGCTGACATCAGTGCGTGGGACCATCTGTCTTCTCGGCTTATAGATGATCAATATGGAGATGTGGTTGATTTTGAGTACTGTGAGCGAATGGCAGACCTGTCTCCAGAGGAGGAGCCTCGAAACTTGGACATGCTGCAGAGACGAGTGTTCTTAGACAGACGATCCAAGCGTAAATGGTCATCTCCTCCTGTAAATACTCTCGCCTCCACAGAGACCTTTCCCATCCCTGAGAATGCACCTGATGATGAACCTCAAAGCCTAAAATCTGCCCTTTCAGATCAGAAAGACTCTTCCACCAGCCTCCTATCTGATAAAGTCCAGATTCAAGTCAGTAAAGTTAACCACAGTGACTATGGTCGTCCCAAAGATTACACAAATCACAACCGAGATGTAGGAGGGGGCGGTGAAGTGGGTTCCTACAAGCCTGTGGCAAAAATTGTCAAAGAGACCAACCAAATGCAAAAACAGTTGAGCCGGGTCAGACCCGAGACGGCTAAAGTTCCTGTTCGCTTGGCAGAGCAGGCCCCAAGCGTGACAGTATCCCAAATGAAGAACACCTTTGACATCCCAAAAAAATGCAAGGAGAGACCAGTGGATGTTCAGCCACCTTCAAAGAAAGGTAGGTCCTCAGTCTGGTTCTGTGAGTTTGTAAAAAAAGAGACGATTTCCGACTTAAACACGAGCACAACCAAGCCCTTTCAATGACATCCACTTTGGCTTAGAAATTAAGAATAAGATTGGATTTTGACCTTGATTAAGGCGTTGTAGTCAGATCCACGTTCTGGAAAAGGTAATTTGCCTTTTGTTGCCACTGACTTTTGTCATACTCAAACTTTAAAGGAAATTTGTACCAGAAGACATATTTCATATAGTTTGTGCGAAATTCCAAAGATAATGAAATAATATTCAGGCTTAAGTTATCGTTCTCCTTAGCTTGTGACCAGTACGTTTTCACAAAACTTTTGAAGATGCAAAAAAAATGGCATTTTTATAAAGAAATTTTACCTTTTTGACTTGTTTTTGACATAAACTGATTCAACGGTATTCTCTGCAGACCTTCAAGACACCCACAAAGTTTAGAAACCAGTGTACTGTCCCTTCTAAACTAACTCATAAAACGGTCTAAATGAGAAGTGAAGCATCATCAAATTAACACAGCAAAGGACACAAACATGCAAAACAACTATAAATTGACAGGAGACTATTATAAGAGAGTTACAACCAAACCACAAGACTAACAGCAAACAGACATGGAATAGCTACAAAGACACAATGAACAATCTGAAAGATTGATGGTGCAAAAAACGCAACCCAAATGAGAAAAAGTATGCAAATTCAACAACAAAAATATATTTAAATGTAAAGTTTATAAAGTACTGTATGTGGCATACTGGCAAAATGAGTCACAATGAGAGTTATTTTGTATTGAGTTATTTCTCCATCTTAAACGCTTCAAAATAATTCATAGCTTGTTGAAATTTGACAATTTTACGCTGAGCTAACGATTATGACAAGGCCAGTTTAAAAACTTAAATTTTAACGATCTAGATCATGATCATCATTGGAATTCCAGCCCTAACTATGCTTCATTAACATTATATTATAACAAAGATTATGTAAAGGGATTTCCAAATGGTACAGCAGCCAGCAGAGAAAAATGGTGAATTTAAATATATGTACATAAAACAGGATTATTTTGTTTAAAACTTTGATTTAAAGATGAATTATTAGCTATTTTTGTTGACTGTTTAATGTTCGGGCTGCTGTTTAACACGCCGTGTTATATTATTATTGTTTAGTGTGCATCTTAGATCCTTCTATATGGTTTCTTTTTGTATACTTTATATTAGTTGCTATTTTGGGGTGTAACTGGGACCTTTAGTATACAATTTTGTTCCACCTCATGTACCGCATGTGATGTGAATAACAATAAAGAACCTTGACTGCAAAATGACATGAACATGTGTAGGAGATGAGAGAAATTATATTGTACCAAAAAGACAAAACTATTGTGTTTGTGGTTGTTTTCTGTTCAGGTTAGATTTATTTGTCATGTGCAAAATCAACACAAGGTCAACAATGTAATGAAATGCTTAGGACGAGAAGAACCGTCTGGACTCGCCAAAACAAAAAAAGAAAGAAAACAAGAAATATCAAATCATACAGCAAAAATACTAAAAACATACTAAAAATATATACTACTAACATTATAAGAAAAACATTTACAATATACTCCTAACATACTAAGAAAAACATATTAAAATATACTACTAACATACTAAGAAAAACATATTAAAATATACTACTAACATACTAAGAAAAACATATTAAAATACTACTAACATTCTAAGAAAAACATTTAAAATATACTCTAACATACTAAGAAAAATATTAAAAATACTATAGAAAGAAAACGACAACAAAAAATATTAAATCATGCAGCAAAAATACTAAAAACATACTAAAAATATATACTACTAACATACCAAGAAAAACATTAAATATACTACTAGAAAGAAAAGAACAAGAAATATCAAATCATGCAGCAAAAATACTAAAAACATACTAAAAATATATACTACTAACATACCAAGAAAAACATTAAATATACTACTAACATGCTAAGAAAAACATTATATCTTAGTAATTTTCATCTTTAAATCACTTCTTGGTCTGCTGCATTCATACATCTCCTCCTACGTCTCTGCGTAAGTGCAGCTACGGCGTGCGCTCTCAGGACATTATTACCTGCAGTGTTCCCTCAGTGAGGACTGAACTTGGCAAAAGGGTCTTCTCCTACTCCGCTCATGTTTCTTGGAATATCTTACAAAAAGACCTGAAGCTCTCGACCTTGACCTCTAAGTGGCTTTAAATATCTGTTGGACTCCTGGCAAGGACCAGTGTAGACATGTTCCTGTTTTTAGTTTTCTACATTCACCTTATAATCTAGCTGTTTTTGTTACTTTTTTGAAATTAAATAAAGTTGTTGTTGAACACACATTTTGTGACAACCCTTTCACAAAATAAAATAAAATAAAAAATTTAATACATTTAACTCCAGTGATTGGGTTCCCCAATGAAGTGTGTGTGTGTGTGGGGGGGGGGGGG